AGGGTAGGAAGGGCCTAGTATCTCCTTTATTCTCAACCTCCCATGCATTCCTACACCAACTTTCCTTTTGACTATGTTTTCCACTGGCTCAATCCCAGTCTGCCCACTCCCAGTCTCCCCTCAAAACCAGCATGTTTCCTATCTCTCATTAACAGTCTAAATCTATATTCACAGGCAATTTTCACTTTATTTCCTCTCACTGTCTCCTGCCCGATCTCTCCAGACTTCCCTGCTTTTTCTTCATCTGGTCTGGCTCTTTTCCACGCCCATTGAAAAGTTCTTCTCTGTTCTTTTGCCTAAGGTTCAAAAAAAGGAGTGAGGCAACAAGAGCACAAGAAAGTGCTCTGCTCTCAGCTGAAGTCTCTCCCACCCTGTTCACTCTGAAGTTGGGAAACATGCTCAGTTTCTGTGACAGTGGTGCAGGCCCAGGGCAGGTAGAGTTAGAAGCTGAGAGATGTTTGCCAACCCACAGGCAGGACACCATCCCTGGAGATTCTAGGAATTCTGTATCCATCTTGAGAAAAGTACAGTTTCTCAAAGGTTTATACTGGGGCCAAATTTGAGTCAAACGTCATAACAGACAGCAAACAAAAGGCACGTGCCAATAAAATTCCAAGTTTCTAAACAGAGTCCTGCAAGTACTAGAGTCCTTCAAGAAAAATGATACAAGAAATTCTGAAAATACCTCAATGTTATATTTTCCCCTGGCCTAGCTTTCAGCTGCAGTTGAATTGTTTTAACTGAAACTGCTTTGACTAAATTACCTTGAGCCAATACAGAATATGAAAATCCATCCCAGCTGGTTCAAGTTTATTAAAGTTAAGCGACTACAAGTGGGGTCTTGTAACATGAACTACAAGATGACCTTAAAATAAAGCAGTGCAACCAGTCTCAAGTCTAATGATCTGGAAATAGAGGTTTGAAGAGTGAGGTGGCAACATTTGCAGAAGACACTACTAGAATTAAACAATAGAAGATAGAGAGTAACTTCATAAGATCATAATAAAGTTAAGTGAACAGGCAGCATGATTGCAAATTTAATTCAGAGTTGACAAATGCAAGATAATGCATATTGGAAAGATATGATTTGAGCTGCTCATGTACTTTGCAGAATCCTGAATTAAGTGTAATTACTTGGGGAATGACTCGGTATCATTATGAGCAGCTCAGTGAAACCCCTGTTTGCTGTGCAATCGCAATCAGACAAAAAAGGAATCTAAATGTTAGGGAAGGTTGAGATAACAAACACAATTCAAGATTGTCTTGTACCATTATGCAAATTTATAATGAACCCTCAAGGGGAATGATAAGTGTGATTGTGGTAGCCACCACTCAAAAATATGGTTTTTTTAAGAAAGTGGAGATCCAGAGCCAGGTGGCAAAAACGGCTAGAGACATGGAAATGCTTATGTGTGAAAGGAAATGGGGATTCTTAATTGAAAAAATTTGATGTGCTAGGGCCCTCTTTAGAGAACCTTGGCATAAGGGGAGACCAGGAGGGGTCCTGTGTATTCCTACCCAGCTGGTATGTCTGATCCTCACGCTGCTGCTGGGGTGCTATTTTTCAGCACTATGGTCAGAGCTGCATGTTCAAGGAAGCCATGAACATCCTCAACATGCTCTTCACTGGCCTCTTCACCGTTGAGATGGTCCTGAAGTTAATCGCCTTCAAACCCAAGGTAAGTGCTCTGGGCGTAGGTTCTCCTGGCCTCTGTGTGTGTGTGCATGTGTGCGGGGCAGCTCTGAGGAGAAGGAGGAGGTGAAACTTTCTGATCTATTACCCCACCAATAACTGAGCTGGACAGTTGCTCTCTGGATTGGAGTCTCACTTATATTTAATAACTTTTTCACTGGAGAGTAGACACACGTTTAAAAAAAAAAAATTAAAAAAGGCAACACTTGCAAATAGAGAAGGTTCCTAGTTCTCTGTTTTCATTGAGTTATAGTAGTGATGGTGTGTTAAGGCTATAATATGTTTTCCATTCTGAATGTTATTCTAATGCTCTCTCTCTGACTCTCCTTAAATAATTTATAAATAGCATCTCATGATTAGTCTTCTGACCCAAGTGAAGTTAATCAAGCATGACTCATTTTGAGTTTTGAGCTTTGGAAAAAAATGTTTCTTCTGGGAGGGCTACATCTCACTGATGGTTTGGATTGCTTTAGTTTTGAATTCAAGACTTCACTGATAATATTCAGTACCCCAGCAGGTCCTGTCTGAAAGGATTGTCCTGTGCATTGGGCCATGATATTATGCTAGTGTAGCTGCACCATGGGGTATGATTATAACCTACAAGCTCTTCCAACTAAGTTCTCACAGCTGCTACAGGACAAGGACAAAGATCCTGACCTCACATAATTACACAAGACTTTCTTTTTTGGGGTTTAAACTCAGTGGTGTGTCACAAGGAGGCGAATCCAGATACCTAAGTACAGCTCCCTCATGCCATTTTTTATGTTCAATGATTCTTTGACACGTGGAGTTGTGTCTTGAGGGAGACCTTGATACATTGTGTGGGTAGTAAATGGTGTCTGAAACATCAGTTATGACATTGGTAAAGATGAGAACATTTATGTCTGGCAGTTGTGCTTGTCCTTCATGTTAAACATTTAGGGGATCACTGAAGTTAGCTCCTCCCAGATCTAATCTAACATATTCCTCATCCTCAGCTCAGAAACTTTACTCTTCATTTCTACTGAATTTGATCTTATTTTTCATTTTTAACTCTGCATTGACTTTACTCCCACCCAGCCTCTTTCTCTTTCTTCCACACTTTCTAAGACTTCTTGGAATAGTCAAAATTTTAATTTTTTATCTGAGCCCAATACCACTCTCCTGTCTCAGTTGTAGTTCTCTTGAAAGTTAGGAGCATCTTGTGCAGTCCTATTGAAGACTGATTTTGTTTTGTGAGATCTCAAACACTGTCTTCAGAAATTTAGAAGTATCATTGTCTGTTTCATCAGGAATTGTATTTTTCAGGAGAGTTCTACCTTTCACTCTTGAGATTTCACCATGTCTATTAGCAAGAAATTCTCTGGCACTTTATGAAAATTTTATCTGCACACTATATACCCAGAAGTGTGTCTCACAGGCTTTGTAATGTTCTTCTGATTTCATGGTTCTGCTTTAGAGGAGATCCTTAACTTTCAGAAAGATGAGATTCTCAGGAGAATTTGGGTTTAAACATTTAAGGGGGAAGTTCAACCAAGTCAAACATTGAGCTCTGTACATATAAAAGGAAGGCTTTACCTGACATGGTTGCCTCTAATGCTAAAGAGTTGGCATTGATGATATTGGAGGTCCTTTCAACTTCCTGTGTCTCACCTTCCTGTGTTCAATCTCCTTTTCAAGTTTTACTGCACAGCAAAGTATAAAAAAAATCACCTGAGGGTAAATGTGTATCCTCTGGATGGCAAAACTGTCTAAGAGATTTCCTAAAGAGATTGTGGAATCTCTATAATTTGAGATTTTAAAATGAAGTTAGGGGGGAACCTTTCATTCAAAACTGTTTAGGAATGTATGATCTGCCTTGAGGGAGGCAACTGGAACAGAACATCTGACAAGGTCCCTCTCAGACCAATTTTCCATTATTCTGTAATTTCCAAACTAAATCCTCAGCCTACTGCAATATTGAGAATATAGAAGAAGTTTTCCTTGTGACCAGAATAGCAGAGTCTTCATGAAGTCTTCTCAGTTATAACCCAGAAACCAATCTTGGGTTCAGTCCCTCCCATCCTGAAGGAATAGCCAGAGAAAAGAAACAAATGTTTCAAGTCCTGGTCTGGCCTGTATGTCAAAGATAGTGCTAACTCTTATACCACTATTTTAATTAAATACCTTAATATAAATTAGCAGAATTTTTAAAATGGAACCAAAGGATTTATAGGAAAGAAAAATAGGAATAAACTTGTGAAAGCAACTAATGCAGCAAAAAGACTTGCCAGTGTATTCACACTGGATTGTGTTGAGTGCCAGTTCAGTGACTCAGGTTTGGAAACTCCAGATTCCTTGTTCAACTTGCCATTGTCTGTTCAGAACAATGATTTGGCCTGCAGCCTTCATTCCCTGCTCCATATCCTGCTCCATATCGACTCAACCTGCTCTCCACAGAAGGCAACCCCCTCTCCCAGATGACCACTTGGACCGATGTGCACCAACACTGGGGCAATAATCTGCTTTTCTTCAGGCTGCACACTGGGATTGAAGCTGGGGTTGCCTAGAGTATGTTCTGAAGTAGGAGCCTCCCAGCATGGAGAAAGTAGCTACCTCAGTCTTCTGCTGGCCAGACCGTGTTGTCACCCAAGGTACAAAAAACAACCTGCATTTGCAGATGGAGGCTGTCCCTAGGAACAGCAACTGGAAAAGTCCAAAAGGATTTTCACTGTCACTGAGTGAACATCAGTAAAGCACAGCCATCACCCTCTCCCCTCTAACCAACCAAGTCCCCTCAACAAAGAAGTGAGATACTGAGTGATATTAGTGTTCCCCAGATGGGACGTGGCAAGATTAAATGCTCATCAGATCCCTGCTGGAGACAGATTCATCTGTCATTTCCTGAGCAACAAAACACAAACCAGCCTTTGTTTAAGCTGCTTTGTCTCATTTTGAATATGTGCCCAAACATCACTCTTTTCTATCTGAAGACTACCCTAAAATAAAAGAGCTGTGAGATTTATGACTGACAAGAAAGCAAGAAAGCAAGAAACTTGGTTTAGCTGAAGGTGTTGTGTTCTAGTGACAAGCCCCAGGAGAATGTGGCAGAACAGAACTGAGCACAGGATTGAAGCTGGCAACATTCAGTCTGTTTTCTGCATTTTTTTTGGTGCTTATCCCCGCAGTGGGTGCTGCAGCTAACCTTCAACCACAGTAAGCAAAGTAGGATCTGACTTGTGGCTCTGAAGCAGCCGCCACAGAGCTCTCCGTTGCACAATCACTTCCTAAAGGCACCTTGGAATGAATGGTCTGCAGCAGCAACAGAGAATAAGGTTTTCTCCACCTGCACAAGGTGGAACAAGCTGCTGTTTGTTCATACCTTTACCAGGGAAAACTGGAAAGGAAACTAGGACAGATCCCTGAGGTTCTCAGCTCTGCTATCACGCTACCTTCTTACCACAGTCACCGCGGGGATGTGCCCATGCAGAACAGCTTTGGGGGAAGCCTAATATGCAGAGTTCCTGCTGCAGTCCACGGTGTGGCCTTCACTACTGCAGACTCATAGATTTATTTGGGTTGGAAATGACCTTCAAGATCATCAAGTCCAACTGTTAACCTGTTGCTGCCAAGTTCCACTAAATACAATGCACTCCAGTGCTACCTCTGTATTACATGCATAGCCACAGAAAAGATGGCATGTCATCTCTGACTGAATGGATTTTTTTTTTACTGTATTTTTTATTTCTTCACTCTGTGAGGAGAGATGTCCTTATTTACTACTCTTGATAGTAAAGGTGAAAAAAAAAGCAAACACAGCTGCACAGATAATAAGCAGGATCACATACGTGCCTGTGGGGATAATCCAGCCCTGCAACTAGTTCTTGTGGTAAAAGCAAGGCTTTACTTATTGAAAGGCCAGCTGTAGGAATAGGGAGCCAAGTCCAAGTCAGGGCTTGTCTCCTAACACCTACAGAAAATATGTGAAGGGGTAGAAAGACAAGGGCTTTCCTAACTAAACATACTGTTACTGCTGAGAATGGTTGCTCTAGTCAGCAAGTCCCTTTTATAATTGCCCTTTTCATTGGCCATGCTCTGTGAACAGTGTTTTGGTTTGCTCAGTCTCCAGGGAGGCTGCAGAGAAGAGGGGTGCTGCAGCAGCTGCTGCTGTGGTATAGATAGTGCATGCCAGGCAGAGACAAGGCCAGCTTCTTGAGAGCCCCCGTGTTTCTGTGTGACACTTTTTCTGGTGGTGAGGATCAGTTACCCCATTTTTTTTGTGGGATTAAGAGCTGTGTAAGACACCTCATCCATGTCTGGATGTCAGGAGGGTGTGCTAACAGTGAGCAAGAGAGATTTGGGATGATTAGGGCTGCTGATAAAGAAAACATCCACTACATGCCCTGCATCTCCTTACAGAGTATTAATACGCTGCTCCAAAGCAAAACTCCCAAATGGACCTCAGTGTTTTTCTTGGCTGATGCTCATAAACCGATTCAAGACTACTTACTTCAAAGAGACAGACAAGCTAAAAGTAATACTGTTGAGCCAAGGCCTTTCGCTGCTTTGTTTTTCTAATTTTATATATTCTCCAGCCAGTCTGGTGAGCTATTTTCCAATTCCTGCATGGAGAAATCTGCTGCTGCTGCTTCGTGCTTTTTCCAGAGAAAACTACTAAAGGGAATGAGGTGCTGTGCTGCCTGGGGTGCTCACAGCTACCACTGTCCTGGCTTCTTAAAGAAGAAATCCCCACAAGCACCAGTCCATGAAGGGCCAGCTGCTCTACAAAACCTGCCTGGGGTTTATCTTTTCAAGTCAAAGACAGCAACTTAAAATTCCTATTCATATGAAGCTGTGCCATCTGTCAGTGTACATGCAAATGTGAGGATGGATATTCCTTTAGGAATATCAGATCTTTCCAGCTCCCTGGAATGGGCTGTTTTAGTGATGAACCACAAATACTTCTTCTTTCAGGAAACATTTCTTCTGCCCCCTTATTAGCTAGGGCAGGACCACTAATCCAAGAGC